AGAGCACTGTGCTGCAGTACTAACCATAAACACATCTTGTGTGTATGGTGTGGTGCATCAGATTATGAAACCACTGATAGCACAAAAATTTTGACACAGAAGATTAAATTGTTAAGTTCATTTAGACTATATAATGCACAAATCAATAACAATTAATGTACCTATTTTTCCCCACATCAGAAAAATGTCTGCTAAACTGTCATGAAAAGATGATGTACATCAATTTGGTCTAGTCAATTTTAATGTACATTCATAAGTATTCTGTGCATCTTAATCTCACACCAAAAACAGTTTAGTAATAAATGGATAATAAGTGAATTTTAAGTAACACCAGCAAAATTAAAAGAAAAAAAAGGCTTCACATAATCTCATTTCTTCTGAGAAAAACATTTTTTAAAAAAGGCATAAAAATCTGTGACAATTATGCAGTGAAATACAATAGGTGCCTCTGAGCTTTTATGACTGTAAATTTTAATTGCTCAGCCACTCAGATTGAAAGAGCTTTAGCCCAGATGACAAAAAACTATTTTAAATCTCTATCAAAAACAGAACTACCAAGACTCAAGTGTCACACAAAATACCAGATATATTAAACCATTCATTACAGCATTTTTTGTATAGCACAATTTTGGGAACAATCTAAAAGTTATCAATAAACAATTAGTTAAAGTCTAACTGCAAAACTTCACAAGGTTGTCCTTAAAAAAAAAAAAAAGAGTCACCTTGAAGATATATTGTTGCTTGGACTGGGGGCAGGATTGGGGAGGGAATTTGCATAAGGAGGGAAAGAAGCCTAGCACATATTTACTGAGTCACTCCAGTCTTTCTGGAAAGACAATAAAAATGATTTTCTGAGGAAAGGGAACTAAAATGCTGAAGACAGATAAAGGAGTCTTGATTTTCTATGTACCTTTTACAGCCTTTCATACACTGTGATTTATGTCCTAGTCAACAATGTAAAAGACTGATGTATTTTGGTTTTACAGATTGAATAAGACTTAACTGAAGGCTCAGACATTGGTTGAGGGAGAATCTACTAAGCAAAACAACATCACATTACAATATAGAATAACTTTCCTAAAACTTTTCCATTGAAATTAAGGCTCCTTCATTTATTTTGTCAATAATTCAGTGCTTAGGATTATTCTAGGCATTAACGGAGCCATACCCRGGTCATCTGAAATTCTTCATAACTGAGCAGTAAAAGGGGGATACAGGAGATAAAAGAAAACTGTGGTTTACATAGGACAGGTAAGGTAGATATCAGTGAGACAAACAACGCACCATGTGAGCAAGAATACAACAAAGGCAAAATGAGCAATGCAACAAACAGGAATTAAGTCCTGTGACTGTAGTAAGCGCTAAGCCAGTTAATGTTCAGGGTACAGCAAAGCAACAGTATGACTACAGAGAACAGAAGTCCAGGAGATGCACTAAGAGATAGGCAGATCTCAGGTACTTGTAGAGCCTTGCATCTGGGGGAGGGGAGGTGTCAAGATCTTTTAAGTGTGACAGAGAACTTCTGTATAGTAACATGATCTGTATTTTAAAAAGGTAACACTAGCTGCCACTTAGAATTAGGCTAACACAGCAAGTCAGGCAAAGAATGATGGAACTGAACAGGGGTTTGGGAGATGAGGCTGTGTGTCTGACTTAGAATATATTACAAATGCAGCTCCTACAGAATTTTCTACTGGATTGGATATGGAAATCCAAGTGAGACAGCAACTGGGTGAACAGTCATTCAAAAAAAGTCATATTTTTATAATTATTTACAGTTAGCAAGGTACTTGTACATACCTTAAGTCATTTCCCAATAACAAGAGACAGGGGAAGGTCACACTGGTCAAGATCCAAGTTCTGCCTCTTGCCAGTTTTAAGACCTTAGGAAAGTCATTTGAATCAGTTACTAGAATGTAAAACATACTGTCTAGATCATAAAATTTCTTCAAGAATCAAACGGCTGAAGGAATGTGCAAAAGGAAATAATGACCATTATGAAAGAGCATCATGTTAATCCTAGTTGTCCAAATCAAGCTATCTCATTTTACTATTTCCATCAGATAAGAATAATCAACACTACATTTCATCATTTGAAAGTCAAAAGGTCATGAAATCCCAGCTGCTCAGGAGGCTGAGGCAGGAGGATCACAAGTTCAAAGCCACTCTGAGCAATTTATCAAGGTCTTAAGCAAGAGAGACCCTATCTCAAAATTAAAAAAGGACAATGATCTCTGATACAAAAAAATAAAAAATTTAAAAATTTTAAAAAAGAAAAAAAAAGCCAAGAGGTCACCAAGAAATAAATTAACAGTCCAGTAAAGCTGGGCACAGTGGTGCACACATCTGTAATACCCTAGATCAGAAGTCAGTAGCCAGTCAGTCCTGGTAACTTATACCCTCTCACAAAATAAAAAATAAAAAGAGCTGGGGGTCTGCTTTAGTGGTAAAGTACCCCTGTGTTCAATCCCCAGCACTGCCAAAAAGAAAAAAAAGGAAAGTATTTTCAATGATTATAGAACAACCTACATAAATACACGCATGGACACTAAAAAATTATAATCTAAAACTGTCCTTTATAGCTGTAAATATATTAAACCGAGGCCACTAATTTTAACCTTTTTTCTTAAAATGTTCTTAATTGTAGATGGACATAATATCATTATTTTTAGGTGGTGCTAAGGACCGAACCCAGTACCTTCCACATGCAAAACAAGTACTTTACCACTGAGCTACAATCCCAGCCCACTGATTTTAACCTTTATATGACAAAAATCAAGGCAAATTCATTAGAGATGTTATCAGTAAGATATTGTAAAATTAAGGTTATGTTACAGTATAAGTTATCATTTTAAACAGTAAAATATAGATGCTTAGCATAAATTTAATGAATGCCAAATTATTTCTTTTTTCCTTTGTGGTGCTGGGGACTGAACCCAGGGCCTTGGGCATGTGAGGCAAGCTATAGCCCCCAGCCCATGACAAATTAATTATGAGAACTCCAACTTATTGCTTTCAACCATTTCTGCAAATTTATAAACAAGTTTACACAAAATTTATTTTTCCATCCAAGGCTTTTGTATGACTGATTCACCTCTTCAAAATCAAGCAAAAATGGGAAAAATGCAGGTAAATGTTTAGTTCACTATGTATTTTAGAGAATTGCCTTTAATGTCAATTTCTGATAGGTACTTAGACCATAACCTAAGTAACAATAAATAAAAACTCGAAGATATTTGGTGCACAGTTCTCACTTTTCAACTGGGCCTCCATAAGCATGATCGTTGGTGGATATGTAACTGCATCATAACCAAAACCACACTGTAAGAACCTTCCAAGGTATATGATAATTAAACCTCCTTGTACAGAGTCTAAAACAAATCCATAATACAACCATGAAGGTTCAGATTATTAGACTCCAGTGCTCACTGACAATCTGTTCTTCCCTCATTTCTAAGAATTTCTACCTTACAGAAGTGTTTTGGGTTTTCTTTCTTTCTTTCTTTCTTTTTTCTTGCTTTGCTTTTGCGGTACTGGGATTGAACCCAGGGACCCTCTACTGAGCTACACCCCCAATTCTTTCCCCTTTTTTTTTTTTTTTTTTTGAGACAGGGCCGTTAAGTTGTCCTTGCTGGTCTCAAACTTGAGAACTTCTGCCTCAGCTTCAGCCTCCCGAGTCGCTGGGATTCCGGGTGTTGTGCCACCGTGCACGGCATAAAAGGTCTAAATTTTCTAAATCAAGCACCTTCTGGTCAATGACACACAACCCTCCATGTCTAACATATTGAATCGTGATTGCATGACACACTACCCAATACATCCTTCGACGCCTAAGAGGTCTTCCGCCTAGTATGCATCTCTTCCCCAAAAACTTCGGACAAAAAGAACACGATTCAATATGTTCAACAGTTCATATCGAGCAAAATCAAGCTGCAAAATTAGTCATTTGCTGGCATAGTGAGCAATATAGATTTTCAACTAATTTTTTATGAAAAAAAAATACAAATTTTAGTTTTCGTGGAATGCAAGAAATTTATCTGGTCTGACAACTCACTGATGTTATGTAAAGAATTTACAAAAACAAGACATCAATCAAAATTTTTCATGGTTTCATATGTACTAGTCAAACTATAGGATTCATAAACAGGGGAAAGACGGTTTAAACAAATAAAGCGCACAAAACCGAGAGGCAAAAGATTTCATAAGCTCTCCCTCAACTGCGGCCCTCCCGCAACCTCGTGTTAAACTATTTCCTCGTAACAGAAACAGCTCACACAGGAGTTTGCCAACCAGAGTAAAATCACTTCATGGAGATWATGAGCGGAAATGTATTTAGAAGAGAAGACCGCGGAAGCCGGGGCAACTCTGCGCGGAGYGCCCCGGTCCCGGACCCCGCCAGCCAGAATCGAGCATGTGCCTAYCGCGGCAGGACGTGAGGCCCTCCGGGGGCCGTCTCCCGGGACGCAGGGCCCCGCCCGGCCTCACCCTCCCGGTTCATTCATTCTGCACCCAGGGCTGCCGCACCCCCGCGCTCCTAGCCCAGCAGAAAAGGGACTCCGGGGCTGAGCGGCCGTGGTGGGCCACAACCCCSGCGCAGAGTCCGGGCCAAGCCGCGATTCCCGCGCGCCCGCGGCCGCCGCCCCAGGGTGGTCTGAGAGACCGCGGAGGCCCGCGCCTGCCCGCGCCCAAGACCAGAGCCCCGCAGCACTGCAGCCCTGTAGCCCCACCCTCCGCCCGGGCGCGGGCCAGGCCTCCCCGCCCGCGGGGCGGCCTCTTGGAAGCCCCGGTGCCCGCCGCCCGGCTGCCCCGCCGCGGCCGGAAGTCTCCCCAGCGCCCCCTCCCCAGCGCCCGACTTCCCTCGCCGCGGCCGCCAGACCCTCTCCGCGTTGCCTCGGGCCTCTCAGCGAGGGCCGCGGACCGGAGAAAGCCTAGGGCCACTCGACACACCACTCCGACGGACCCAAGCAGAGTGAGAAGCCACAGACCGGCCTGGAGGTTACCTTGATGATCCTGCGGGGCAGCCCGGCCATCTTGTCAGATCCCGAGTTCGGCCTCTGGTTTCGTCTCCGGCTCCGCTCGCCTCACGCACGAGTGGAAGTCCCGGGCTCCACTTCCGGGGGACGTTGCCGCGCCCGCCGCCRCCGCTGCCGAGGCCCCTCGGGAAATGTAGTCCCTGCTCGGGTGTGGGCTCGGGCGGGTTTTCCTCCGACCTGGCCCCCTCCCCCGCGTTCCCCGCCCCAACCCCAGCTGGGGGTGGCGGAAGTGACGCGCCGCGATGGGGCAGGGACTTGGGGGAGGCGGCGCGGAGAGGCGCGGAGCTTGGGCCCCCGCAGCCGAGCCTGCGGCGTGACAGTGGGACTAGGCGGCTAGAGCCCGCAGGCCCTTTATGCCGGGCCCCGCCCGTGCCTGTGGATGACGTAACAGAGGCCCGGCCTCCGACGTAGCCCATTCATTCCTTCCAAGGTTCATTCAGCTTTCCTGCATTGCCACCGCCCGGCTGTGGCTGCGGGGACACACACAAAAAAAGCTTCTAAGCATGGGTCTCGCTGGTTGTCCAGATCTTGGCGGTGGAGTCTTGATGTTTAAATAAACTCGGCCCCTGGGTAGGCTAAAGGAGAAAGGGTTTAGAGCGAGTTAGACTCGGGAAGATGAATGGTTTCTGAACGCTTGGACCTAGCAGTTGAGATGCAGAGTTGCTAACTTGACGAATGACCAAAGAGAGAATTAAAGAACGCAAGGGATTACCCACTCTACCCAAAAGGAGGATTACAATGAGGGTGCCCGAAACAGGAACTGGGGAAAGAAAGCATTTTACTGTTAGGCATTGTCACTTGCTAGGCATTTTACTGTTTGCAAGCATTTTATTTCATCTTTATAGCAATCTTAAGAAGGTACTGCCTCCATTTTAAAATGAGGTTTAGAAAGATAACTTTTTACAATGTTATAGCAGAAGAAAGTGGAGCTGTTTTGTTCCTAGGCAGGTCTTCAAAGACATGGGTGCTAACTACTACTTAACCAGAGTCTCCTAGCACAGTAACACAGAAAATAGATGGTGAATGAATGAACAAAGATATGCAAGGCATGGTGTTAGAGGATGAGAATACAAAAAAGAAAAGGCTGGACATGACTTCCAATGTAAGAGAGAGACAAGTAATTAATTACAATCCAGTGAGTTAAGGGCTATAATAGAGGTTCCTCCAAGATACTATTTGAGCACAGAGGCATTAACTGCATTAGAACTCAGAGAAGGCATCTTAAAGTAGAGGCTTGAATGAAGAGTAAGCACCTACCAGATCCGGCAGTGAAAGCATACCAGCCATAGAAAATAGCCTATGAAATAGCATTGTGCTGTGAGAAAGAAAAAAATAAGGCTTTAAATAAACTAGAGATATGAGTGCAGGAAATCTAGTAAAAATAATGAGAAACATTTCAAGCTCGGCACAGTAATAAATGATTACATGGATTACCTCATTTGATCATAAAGCATACAAGGAAGGCTTTATTATTTCCATTACCTTTAAAATGAAAAACTACGGCTCAGAGGTAATGAGAACTTGAAAATGAGAACTTCAAATAACCAGAAGTCTGAAATGGGTTGTTCTGTGATAGAAGAACCTGAGAAGGTTAATGACACTGGACAAAGATGATTTCAGAATATTTTAGAAAGGGCCCGGGATAATTCACCCTTCTAGGAAAAAAAAAAAAAAGGCAAAGCAGCTGTTAGAAGCACGCAAATCTAGATGAGCGCAGTTGCAAACTCCTGTAATCCCAGGGGCTTGGAAGGTTTATGATGAGTTCAAAGCCAGCCTCAGCAACTTAAGCAGGCCCTGAGCAACTCAGTGAGACCCTATCTCTAAATAAAATACACATACACACACAAAATACACACACACACACACACACACACACACACACGCAAAAAATGGTGAGGTGACTGGGCGCAAGCCTGCAAGCCTGTAATCCCTGCTGGGGGGGGTGGGGGGTGAGACGAGAGAGTTCAAAGCCAGCCTCAGCAACTGTGAGATGCTAAGCAACTCAGTGAGACCCCTCTAAATAAAATTCAAAATAGGGCTGGGGATGTGGTTCAGTGGTCAAGTGCCCCTGGGTTCAATCCCTGGTACCAAAAAAAAAGTATGCAAATCTGCAATTTGGGCTGGGCTTGGAAAGGAAGACACATCTTTGCTCCATGCTGCATTCTATGGTTCAAATCTGGAATGTCCCCCTAAACTCCTGAATTGAAAGCATGGTTTCTAAAGCAATAAGTTTCAAAGGTAGGACTTTTAGGAAATGATTAGATCATGAGGGCTGTAACTTCATCAGGGGATGATCCATTTTTATGGATTAATAATTTGCATGAACTACTGAGTTTAACTGCAGGCAGGTGTGTGGCTGAAGGAAGAGGGTCACTGGGGGTGTTCCCTGGAAGAGTTATCTTTTCCCAATCTCTTTCCCTCTCCTTCTCCCTTTCCCTCTGTGTCCCTGTCTCTCACTCTCTCTCCTTCCCAGCTGACATGAGCCCAGCAACTTTCCTTTCTCTCACTTGGGACCCAGAACAATGGAGTAGGCTGACTGTGGACTAAGACCTCTGAAGCCAAGAGTCCAAATAAATCTTTCCTTCTCTAGGTTATTCTTATCAGGTGTTTTGGTTCCAGCTACAAAATGGCTGACTAATACAATGTGTCAGCCTGGACAATTGACAGGGGCCAGAAGATCTACTTCCATGATGCCTCACAGGTCTGGCAAGTCCTTGCTGGCTGTTATTCCATTTCCATGAGGGCCTCTCCCTGGTGTGTCATGACTTCCCCACTGCAAGATTGCTGGGTTCAAGAGTGAGTGGTATAACAAACAAAAGTAGAAGCTGAATTGCCACTTTTGACCTAATTGTGAAGTTACACCGCATCACAATCGCCACAATCTAGTGGTCAACCAGCAACAAACAAAAGCTACCTAGTTTCAAGGGTAGAGAAGAGGAGTTCACTTGAAAGGGGAGTGGCAAGATTCTAGAAACTGAGGCCAGGTTGTGGCTCAGTGGTAGAGGTCTCAACTAACACACGTAAGGCTCTGAATTCAATCCTCAGCACCACATAAAAATAAATAAATAAAATAAAGGTATTGTGTCCATCTGCAACTAAAAAAAAATTTTTTTTAAAAAAGATTCTAGAAACTAGCAGACTATGTGTGATGGAAGGTTTAGTTGTAGACAACTTTAGAAAACACAAACAGCCACATGTACAACATTTGTCAGAGTATATTTATAGTCATCTACCTTTGCATCACCTAGGGTGCTAGTAAAATAAAAGCATTTCCAGAGCCTTTCCTCCAGAGATGTAAATTCTCCAGTCTGTATGTAAACCTGAAAATCTGCATTTATTATTTTGATATATCTCAGCATTTGTGTGTGTGTAAGTGGTACTGTTGGTCAAACCCAGTGCATCATACATGCTAGGCAAGTGTTCTAACAGTAAGCTACATCCATCCCTTTTTAGTTTTTATTTATTTATACTTTTTTTTTTTGATACCAGGGATTGAACTCAAAAGCACTCAGTCACCACTGAGCCACATCCCCAGTCCTTTTTTTGTGTTTTATTTATAGAGACAGGGTCTCACTGAGTTGCTTAGTCTTGCTGTTGCTGAGGCTGGCTTTGAACTCGTGATCCTCCTGCCTCAGCCTCCTGAGCCACTAGGATTATAGGCCTGTGCTACTCTGTCTGGCTTATTTATATTCTTATTTTATTTTTGTTTAGTTATTTATTTTGGGTACCAGGGATTGAACGCAGAGGCACTTAACCATTCAGTAATGTCCCCAGCCCTTTTAATTTTTTTATTTTGAGTCAGAATCTTGCTAAGTTTCTTAGGGCCTTGCTAAATTACTAAAGCTGGCTTTGAACTTGTAATCCTTCTGCCTCAGCCTCTGGAAATGCTAGGATTCCAGGCATGTGCCACCATGCCCAGCTATAGTATTTATTTTGAAACAAGGTCTTACTAAATTTCTCAGGCTGGCCTCAAATTTGTGATCCTCCTGCCTCAGCCTCCTCAGAAACAAACTATAGGTGTGGGCCATGCCATTGTAGTAATAGTATCTTAACATTTGAAAATAAAAGATTTTTGGAAAGCAAGAACCCCCAAAAAAGTATAAACAAAGTGTTACTGATTGTTTATTTTGCCTATCATCTATCAGAACAGATAATGACTACCACATAGATTAAGAATGAGGACTCTGGAGCCTCCGCCTGAGTTTGAAAACTTACATTTTGCTTAATTTCTTCATCCTTAATTTTCTTCACCTATAAAATACATACAACTTCATGTAGTTGTGAAGTTGAAATGACACAATATATAAAGTACTAGGAACAATACTTAGCCCTTAGTAAGTGACATTATTGTAATTTGGTAGAAACAGATATCATTTTCTTTAGGAAATCAAATTTTAAAAGCTTGACAGTATAACTTTGGCAAAGATTCGTTTGATGGTATGAAATTCTCTTAAAACGTTAACACTTTTAAAATATATTTTTTGTCACATTTCTTCTAATTATTTTCGCTGTTCTTTTCCCCTTTGAGAACTGTTCACACTAGAGTCATCTGGAAAATGAAATCTAAACCTCAAGTTCATGTTAATCCTGTAGCACAGAATATATTCTAGATGAATAGATTGCCACAGGGCTGAGATGGGGGTTATTCTCAATTAAGAAGGCTGGTTTAGAAACCTGATTACTATATTCAATATAGAGATAGAGAGCAAAATATTGATGGGGAGGGAAGATAAGTCAGAGGATACCAAGTAGCCAATTTGTAGGGTGAATAAATCTAGAGATCTAATGCATAACATGAGGACTGTAGGTAATAAATAAATTGTGCTGTATATGGAATTTATGCTACTAAAATGAGTAGATTTTAGTTGCTTCACCATAGAAGTGAAATAAAAACATGAATTAACCAGTGTGATCAAGAATATGTTCATTTACTTCACTATAGTAATCTTTTTACTACATATATGTATCTATAGGTATTTATATGCCTTTATAACATCATGTTATATGCCTTAAACATATATAATAAAATTTAGTTTTTTGACTGCACAGATGTTATCCCCCTCCCCTGCCACCTGGTGCTACGGTTGAAACCCACAACTACTAAGTAAGCACTATAAATTTGAGCTATATTCTCAGCCTAAGAAGCATATTTTTTTTTTACAGAATTTTATTTATGCAGGGTGTGATGGTGCATGCCTAGAATCCCATTTGGGAGGCTAGGGCAAGGAGGACTGTGAGTTCAAAGCCAGCCTCAGCCTTAGAGAGACTCTAAGCAATTTAGCAAGACTCTGTCTCAAAAGAAAAAATAAAAAAGGGCTGGGGATGTAGCTCAGCAGTTAGGCAC